CAGACACCACAGACACCACAGACACCACCAGACACCACAGACACCACAGACACCACCAGACACCACAGACACCACAGACACCACATACACCACATACACCACCAGACACCACATACACCACAGACACCACCAGACACCACAGACACCACAGACACCACAGACACCACCAGACACCACAGACACCACCAGACACCACCAGACACCACAGACACCACCAGACACCACAGACACCACCAGACACCACCAGACACCACAGACACCACCAGACACCACAGACACCACCAGACACCACAGACACCACCAGACACCAGCCAGCTGAAGTAGGAAAAAAGCCTCACACAGAACCCTGCAGAGACTACCACAATTACAACAACATATTGGTGCCAATGTGGGGAAGTATCTATGTGGGCACCCACCATGAAGTCTGGCAGGATTATTTTCATGAACAAATCTTGTGTCCCACAAAGAAACCAACCACTACACTACATTCTTACCTTTTATCTTAATAAATCTCCACATAAAACTAAAACATCCCTGCAAAATGACACTGCCTTAATGGCACAGTTAATTCTTGATTAATTAATCTAATTTAATAAGCATATGGGAACGTCAAAGTGATGAAAATATTTGTGGCGCCTTTCTCCTACCCTCATAAGTATTAAATACTGGTATAATATAATAATAATATATATGTGAGGCAGCGTGGTGAAACCAGGCCCTCGTCAAAATACTGAAATGGAAAAAAAACCGGCATAATTCTGCCACTTTGGACATTTTTCGAATTTTGTTTTTTGACTCAACACCTTCTATGTCCGTTAAAAAACACATTTCTATATGGATTTAACTAGAAAACGCCGATTTAAGGCACAAAAATGGAAGAATTTTAGTTTCCATGGACTCTCGAGTCTTGGAAGTCACTAAACTTTGGAGGCCACGTTATCGCTAATTTTACCTCAAACCAGGCAACCCATGCCTCCTTCAATCGCAAGTGTCTTGACTTCTCTTCAAGTTAGATGGGTATTTTTTCCTTTCCAAGCAAGACAAACGAATAGGCTTTATGCTGATACCAGTAACTCCACATGCCTAAACATTGACGAGCGCCTGATTCCACCGTGCCGTGACACATATATATAATATAAACAAGTTGAATATGAATGTGTGTGTTATTTTTTTAGTTTGGGGGGGTGTAATGCCCAAATAACAAAGGGGAAAAAAACCGGAGAAAACTTTTGCGCCGATAAAAAGCAAACACTGGCTTTATAATGCCCAGACTGTTCACAAGATGGGAATGCAGGCTCCGACTCAGTAATGAAGAAATACATTGTTCCCCCCTTGAATTGCGTATTTGATGACATAGAATCTAAAAATAAAAATAAAAATTAGTATAAATAAATCTCTTTCTGGCTTGACTTCATTGAACCGGCAACAAAATTTTGAAACAAAAGATTGTTGCATGGGGATTGTCTAGTTCATCAGTTAGCCACATAAGACGATAAAATAAATTAATTAAAAATTTGTAACATAATAATAATGAGACAAAACATTTTAAAGTAAAACAATAAGTTAAAAACTCATACACACATCGTGCATCCCAGTTTGCCAAACTGAAAAAACAACATAACATCATGGCCCACTGTATCCAAGGACACCAAGCATCAGTCAAAACTGTTTTCAGTAAAGCATTTTGCACACAGTCCACACATCATGTGCACATTTATGTACAGAGTACGTGAAAATAAATATTTTAAAAAAGAAACCATTGGTCAAAACATACATCTGAAAGCCTCAAGAGGGCATGTGTAAAACGTGTTGGTACATGACTAAGGTGTATATTCATAACCAGCTGACAACTTCTTTCACAAGTCAGGTTCGACGTCCTGGCATTAAACTTGATACACAGGCACAAGTTGCTGAAATAATCTATAGTTTGACCAGATGACTCATATATAAAACTGTTTGCAACTGCCCAAGGCCTGTTCCCACTTCTCTTGTGGGGAGGAAATGACAAAAGATGGAGACAATGTATTCATTTATATCTCGAACAAGAAGCTAACAGAACCATGCAATAACGTTTTGGATCCTAGTAAGGTGAGCAATGACTCTTCCAAACGGAAAATGTTCACTGGCATCTTACACAGGCTTTTCAGCAACTTAGGACAATTGACCTTTATCCAACTCATTAGATATTTTTTATACAAGCCATCAAGAAGAATGAGGCCTCCAATTTCCATACGGGCCATTTTATCAGATCACTTGTATTCCTTTTGGAATTTTGCAATAGAAGTATATGAAGACAACAACAAAATGTTTCAATTTAAAAGAAAAGAAAGGAAAAGAAACAGTTTCTAATTCAGCTGATAGGGGGAAAGTTAATTAAGATGAAAGAACATATATGACATACTACAGTTCATTAGTAGGAAGAAATAATGACAGACTGACAGTAAAACTGAAAGAAATACAATTCATCCACTTACTTAGTGGAAGAAGTTACAAACTAACAAACAAAAATCTTACTGGTCATCATACAGAACTTGAGAACTGAAGAAAATTTAGTCATGAACAATTTATTCATGCTGCACAGTAAAAACAGTACTCCCTTTGTTACTGGTTTTCACATCTCAATGACTTTCAAGGATGTGACTGAGAAACTGAAAACTGAGATTTTTTTCAGGAAATAGTCGTCAATATGTTAAGACTTCAAAAAAGGATAAAAAGTGAAAAATAAAAAAAGCCATGCTGCATGAGACTATGACAGTGAAGTACATTCATGCCAGTATACTGCGTAGAATTTTGCAATTTTCAAATCACTTTGCCTACAACATACATTTAAAACCAGAGACTTGGGGGCAAGACATGAAGAACAGGGCAAACAACTGACCAAAGGCAGATAAACACACAATTCATGAATCAAAGAAATATCAACTTACCAGAGTGTGAGGTCCAGTTCCTAGTTTTGATTATTTTTTGACACGATAAGAGAACTATGAAACAACTGTTATAAACTAGAGTTAGCCACAAAGAGAGGGTAGTTTACAACACATCTGAACTTGTTCAGTAGGTCAAGTAACCATCTTTCGTTGTGGACAACACATCAAGAAAGCGAGGGGAGGACAGAACAGCTTATGTTATTGGAAGCACAGAGTAGCAGTGAACACGAAAGTATATTCATAACAAAGTTTGTTCTTTGGACATGTGGACTGGAAGAGCTCTAATCTCAAATGGCTATGACCAAAAGAGGTCGGACAGAATCTGACAGAAGAACAGCACACTGAATGAAATCAACAATAAACAGGGAGGAAACAGATGTTTAGTAAATTTCTTCTATCCCCCACCCCTGTTCCTTCCCTACCTCCCACATACGGTCATGTATATTAATTCATCTTACTATAAGTGATCAAGTCTGACAATGAATGCAAACCAAACAAACTAGATAACTCTGCTCGGGAAAACTCCATAAGTAACAGACTTGTAAAAGAAATGTCTATAAAGGAAAAGAGTAAAAACAACACAATACAAAATGGTAAGTCCATATAAGTACCATTTCAAGGTTTCCAAATGAATAATGAAACAAGATCTTCCTTCCAAAGAGGCATTTAAACCAAAAAACCTTAAAAAAAAGGAGAAAAAAAACCCCACACATCTAAGATCAAATGTAAGTAGAACTTTAGAACACTACTCCAATTAAGCACGATGCAATACTGCCAATTGACTTATTAAACATCGCATAAATAAACTAACTATAAAACCCACGATATGATTATATTATGATCAAATGAGATTAAGTCTTTACTGGGTGAACATGTTTTCTGCGTATCAAAAATATTTGAAAATTAAACACAAATACCTGAAAAAAGGTCCAGCTTACAATTTATTCTATAACTGAATTTTTTGAGAAACCTGCTCAAAGTGAAATGGTAACCACACTAAGTAAAGGATACAAATAATTTGGAGCACATCTTTTCTCTTACAACCTAAGACAGGTACTTAAATCTCCACAGGACCCCTTACTTTTATAGTGGGTTTTAAAAAGAAAACTTTCCCAGCGGGAGATCCAACGAGAAAAGCTTGAAAAACGCCCCTTGGCACTCAGATATCACATCGAAAAAGCCAGTTTAAATTTCATACAGAGAAGGAACATTACTTTATTTTCTAAACCTTCATCAAAATCTAAAAGCATGCTATCTTCCCATGATTGAAACGTTGAGCAAACACTGTTTAATTGTGAAAGCGACTCAACTCTTCATAATATCTACTGTCCTCAAAATTACTGAGAGACCCTATCACATCGCTACAGGGGAAAACTGATAATACTGAAGAGCACCATAAATATCTTTATCCACACCAGAGAACCTGAAGAGTCCACTTCCCTCAGAAAAAGGAGCATTACAAAACAATCTCAATATCAAAATCTCTCCCAGCTGAAATCGTAGTCCAAAAACAGTAAAGAGACATCAGGCAAGAAATCATATGTTCGCAACTACGAGTACTTAAAAAGCATCAGGTATCCCCCCTCCCCCTAAATGAGCCAGTCATAAGACAAGATGATAATAACACTGTGTCACAAGAGCAAATCCCATTCACGTCTTCTCTGTGGGTTTTGAGGCCGGAGGCGACGTTATTTCCGTCGTGATTCCCCCCAATCTGATCTTGTACTTGCGTCCCCTCCAGGTGACCACCGGGTCCCACAGCGCTCTGCACGTTAGAGAGAAGTAGGACATCTCGTTGACCAGCCACCCAACAAGGAATTCAAACTTGGAAAAAGGCAATGGTCCTTGCTGCAAAAGATAGAAATCAAAGAAAAGCTTGCTCAGTTCAACTGAAGCTAATGGCAGGTGGGCATAACAATGGCAAATTTCACCACATGGAAACAACAAAACTATGTCACAGAGAGCAAAAAAAAACAAGTGCATATCTCAAAGAAAAGGAACAAAATCAATAGCCTTTACTTTACACTTACTAAAAATTCAGATGTTAAATGAGGGATAAAAATTTATAAATTTTTGACATCACATTTCCTGGTTCATCAATAATTATCTAGTGTCTTGAAAATGGTTTACATGATTTCCCAATATGTTACCACTCCTGCATTACCAAAATAGATGCAACTAAACTTAAAAAGGGGAAAGAATTAAAGTATGAAAAAAAGAAGAAAAAGGTGTAAGACAACAAAAAAGTGACCCCAGAAATGCAGTGCAACAAATAAGCCCTTCAAGACAGAAATGGAGAAGGTGCGACATCCATCTAATATGATGTCAACTAACAAGTCCAGCTTCAAACACAACCAGCCATGTAAAGTGGATCAAACTATGCCATAATGGGAACAAAAGGTTTATTCATTCCCAAACACCAAAGATTTCTGAAATCTATGATTGATTTTTCTGGAAAATGGGCAATTTCCTCTTTAAAATTTTGATGGTAAAACATGGAATAACATCAAGCAGCTAGACTAGAATAGGGAAAGGTGGAAAGTATTTATTCGATGGCGTAATATCCTGATCCAGGTTGAGAAAGGCAATGTTAATGATGATGATGATGTTGGAGGGAAGGATACGGATGGTGGAGAATGTGGAGTGGTGGATGCGGGCGGGGGGATGGTGAAGTGGTGGATGCGGGCGGGCAGAGGTGTGTGAGTGCGTGAATGGTGTTGGTGGATGGTGGGGGGGAGATGGTGAAGGTGGAGTGGTGGATGTGGGGTGGATGTGGATGTTGGAGGTCGAGTGGTGGGTGCGGGCGGG